CGCTTTGAAAGCGATAAAGAAATGGATACAAGCTACAGTTAGTCGCGCTTCAGGATGAATGTTCAATATTTATTATTATTAAAAGTTAAAATTTATTTTTTAACGGCTTAGTGCGAAAAGTGCTCTACGTTTCTTAAAGAAGTGAATTTTTCAAAAAAAAATCAATAATCAAGAATGGCATAGACCATAGACCATCCTCAGCATGGGTTAGAATTTTAAAGGATCAGGTTTTTGTCGAAGCATGAATCTTGAAAAAAGCAAATAGCGTAACTCAAATAATTTTTATTTTCTTTCACATAAAGAGAGTGTTTTGTGTTTACTTAACAATTGAACTTTTTCATTAACATATTAGCATTTCCACGTCTCTTAAATTGATAGAATCAAGCGAAATGGCTTCGCTGTTGCTATTTTTTGATATTTTTCAGAAATGATTTTTTTTTTTTTTTTTTTTTTTTGATACTTGAAAATACGACTGATAACCTGTCCGAATATTATTATTCTGCCAACCTTTTTTTCCATTCTACTTTTATTCCATACCTTCGTTAAATAGGTTGCAAACTATCTGATCTTATGTGCAATGATGGCAACTATTTCTGAACGTTACCATATCATCGATGAACTTAACAGAGCAAACCTAAATAGTTCAGTTCTGGTTTATATATGGTAAACATATCTGTCTGTCTCGTTTAAATTTACACTTAATCTTGATTTCTTCTTTTTTTTTTTACGTTCGACTGTAGAAAATGAAATCTAAAAATATTTTTAATTCATTTTAATAGTTTTTGGTGTGAATTCTATCAAAGAGAATAATGCCTAGAAAAAAAGTTTAATTATTGCTCTCTATAAGTTAATTGCATGCGCATAAAAAAATCTTTCCTTATTTAGTAATTGCATACAACAGGTTTAATTTGCTAAGCAAATTTATAATAAAAGTTATTAACGAAGTTTCAGTTTAGTTTGCAAAATCGTTTTATCATTCAACAATTGCGGACGGATCATGAGCGTCTATAAACTTTATCTATAAAATTGGATTAAGTTTTTCTTTCGGCTAATCATTTTTCTTTCTTTTTTTTTGACAATTTTAAGAAGAAGAATGTTAACGGGAACGGTAGAAAAAAAAATTGGCATATCTGACACAGAGAAGAATATTTTAGAGAGTGCAATGCCTAATTTAAGGTATCTTAGATATTAAGAAGCGAATAATAAAATTCGTGCTTTAGCATTTTATTCGATAAGTGGCGGATATTAAAGAAAAACGAACTCATTCTAATCAGCGAGATTCAAGAATATTAAGGGAAAATTTGGGGTTTGAAAAGAAATGCAATCGAAAAAAAAACATTGCGTTATAGCCTGACCGAGTTTATTCGTCTCCTTGCCCTCATTTTCAATCCTAACTAAAGGAATTCATTCAAAAAGTATGCGAATCTAGTTTCAAGGTTTTACATCAATATTAGTAAATTGAATTCAGATCTTAACTAATCATTAAAAAAAAATATGGAAAGAGCGAGAGCGAGAGAGATAGATAGATAGATAGATAGATAGATAGATAGAGAGAGAGAGGGAGAGAGGGAGAGAGAGAGAGAGAGAGAGAGAGAGGGAAGTAAGAAAATTGATCCAAAATGCGGTTACGCAGAACGTTTCATTATTGACAGCACATGTCGCATATTGTATTCAATATATGAAATTACGTTTTGCATAATGAGTTTGAGTTAAAGCGAACTTTTGTAATTACAAAGACACACTCTTAGGTGAATTGACCGTAGAAATCTTCTGCTATTCCTGAACAATTTTGACTTTACGTCATTTCTAGCTACAATATATGCACTCCTAACTGCTGGTATGAAAAGTGCTTACAAGGATTTAATTATGAAGATTTCTGTAAGCGAATTTCAGTTTTTTAATTCGATTGTAAGTTGTTTTGGGCATGTGTGCGATCCCACGATTAAATGATACACTTTCACAGATCGAAATGTTCAAATAATAAATAGGAAAACAACAGAATCTTATCTCAAAAAGAATCAATAATGGACTTATAAACACATCTTTACATATTGTAGGTGAGTTCTGGTGTTTGATTTTAGTGGCGCATGATTTTATTCCCAATTTTCAAACCGGCATTTAAAAGATTGTTTTTAAGCTTTGAACGAAAAATTTTATAAAATAATTAAAAGTATATAAATGTATGTAAAAAAGAAACTTGGATCTCTTCGATACCATTCCCTAGACATTAGATAAAAGACAATAAATATAAAGAAAAAACTCTAGACTTCTAGATCTGTGATGGGAAATACCACAATTGGTACGTTGTTCTATAGGCAAAAAGATAGAGAGAGGGAGAAATGTCTGTAAACGTGCGATTTGAAAGTGAAACCATCTGGTTCAATGCTGGGCCGATAGATTGTTGTAAAGACGAGCAATACCCTTAAGATGTCTATTATGATTTCGCGAAACATTGCGGTAACTTTATTATCTATTCTTTCTCAAGACCTGCCAGCTTCTAACATTTCAGTGTACAGTCGGGATGAAACCGGATTAAAATGAGCACCTACCTTGTGGCTTAACCTCACGATATCTGCTGACATAACCGATTATTACGGCATCAAACGACGCTCTCCAGTAAGTTTACAAGCTAGGGACTTGACTATACAGAGCGTACCAGATCGACTTAGAGGGTATGGCCAATAAACTCACTCTGGAGCGGGTTCGAGGTCTGTACACGCACCACATTACTTATAGTTTCGGCGCTTTTGGGTTCCACAGCCGTCGTGCTGCTTCGACCAAAGTATTCGCAGCGCTATCCACTTCTACGTAGGTTTCCCTCCGAAGCATAAAACGTTGTTTCTAAGCATATGCAATTTTTGGTGAGTGGGTATCCTTGCGCTCTAAGTTAGACCATGAAGTGTTTAGCTCTACGCGATGGTAGTCACTTTTTCACTTGATTCTTCCATACGGATTAGCCAATCCAAATTAAAATATACGGCGGTAGCCTGTTTCTTTCTCCTTGCTCCACGCCCTCGGCTACTGCTTCTTCTCAGTATTCCACAACCTAATTGGTACTGCTCAGCCAGTTTCTCCTTTCTCCATAGCAGCATGTCAGCACACAACTTGAGTCCCCTAAATAAATCCTATTGATAGGTTTTCAAGAAAATGTCGACTGAAAAATAACAACCGAGCCACGAAAGCTGCAATTTAAGGCACTATATAAATATATATATATATATATATATATATATATATGTATATATATGTATATGTCTTTATTAAGCAAATAGAAAATAACTTTTAAGGCAGAGCGGACGTTTCCTTACGGCGCGCACGAAACGAAACAAAAATTCTGTTTAAATGAAAGCATTCTATTATAATGCAAACCTATTCTAGAGTGGTCTTCACTCTTAGTACACTCTATATTCGTTACATAATATAAATCAATCGCAAGGAATAGTATGCTATCAGTTTACGATTCACTTTTGAATCGTTTTACAGCGATGTGAAAAACATGGTAAACTTGTGGCACATTTCTTAATCTTCGTTCTGTTTCTACAAAAACAAAAAAAGAACAAAAAATCATTTCTCCTTCTCGAAGTCTATATATGCATTATATTTTATTGAATGCTTGCTTTACTTGACGTTAGGATATGCTAACATTTTTCGGTTATCTGCCTACATCGAAATGTCACTCAGAGTGTACAATGCATTGTTTCAGGGCATAACTAACAATTTACTTTGCATTGTTTTCTTCTAGTCTCGGTGTATATAATATATGGATAACTGTTGTATGCGTTTGTTTTCATGTATATGTATACATAGCTGTTAACATAGATATTTGCATACTTTCGGAAACATTTAGGATTTAAGTGTGGTTTCAGGCATTTATTGCTCAAATTACGACATTTATTTGCGAAATTCTTTTTTTCATGTTTTGTTGTAAATTGTTTTTCATATTTTGCTCATAACTTAATCAGTTTGGAGATATTTGGATTATTGGAATAAATTGAATTGAAGTAAAAAACTTATATACGATGGTATAAAACTTCATCTCTACGTTTCTAGTGCCGGACAATTTTTATATGTTTTTTGCTGATTTGAGAAGATGAGAGAGCGCACATAGGAAATAATTTCTCACTCTTATCCTAATTAAAATAATATGATGGACAAAAGTATATGCAGATCTGTTGAATAAAGTCAGCGAGCGCCCTTTACATCGAAGATTCATTGACTGTTTGCTAGCAAAAAGAAGAAGAACAACAACGTGCGTTTACAAGCTCAGTTATATTGGAGTTGGTTTTGTTCGATTGCTTTGACAAAATAAAATCTTTTACCAACAACAGTGATAGCCGGTGCATCTATGTTCGATTTAGAAAGTATTAAACGTTATAGTGCAACTGTATAAGTGAAAATGCTGTCGAACCGTACGATTGAGAGATGGGTTTTCCGCTTAGTAAGACTCTTTTGAATTACAACCCAATGCTGCAAGCCCTACCTTTATCGATTCCTTCTAACTTTGACTTTTAAATGCTTCTGTTTCTATAATATTCTAAATGATCTACGAGATGTACATAATATAATATCGTATTTAATCTACTATCTACTTCATTCTTGACAATCTAGCAGATATTGTGTTTAAAAGAACACTTGAATCGTTTAATGGCGAAGGGCGAAATTTTCAATTCATTTAATTCACTTTCATAATCAAAGTACTTAATAACGAAGGATATTTTTATACCGATTTTAAGAGTCTTTTATACAAGTATAGAAGCGTATCTGATCATTACGTACGGGTTGATTAGATTAGTATATATCACTTTCTCTTTCCCTCTTGGCAATTACTGACAACTTCAAGATGTGCGATAGTTTGCTTTTTTAAAAGCCCAGTATAAGCGACGGCGAAAAAGTAAATGAAAAAAGTGTTTTCGGTTTTTCTTTCAATTTACTTCAAAAAAATGTAATCTGTTTTTTTTCTTTCATTTAAGTTTTTATTTTTTATT